GAGAGGAGAGGAGAGGAGAGGAGAGGAGAGGCAGGAAGGAAGGAAGGAAGGAAGGAAGGAAGGAAGGAAGGAAGGAAGGAAGGAAGGAAGGAAAGGAGGGAGGGAGGGAGGGAGGGAGGGAGGAAGAACAATCGGATCTTGTTATGAGCTCAATGCGCAAACGCATCTTCAAGGCCTACCTTCCGAATACCAAGGCAGAGCTTTGGGCCTTTCCTTCTCTTCACGGCAAAAGGACTGGTAGTCAGGACAGCAGTCAGAATGGTCCCTCTCACAGAAGCTATCACAGTAACACACCGCGTCTGCCTCATAGAACTGAGTGACACAGGCGTCATCTCTGTCTTCACAACACCCCAGGGTGCTACAGTAGCGGCCTGGGAACACAGCCCTTTTCAAGCGAGTACCTTCCGAGCTGCTGTGATTCCTGCTGGAAGCCGCTCCCAGGCCCACGTCTCTTCCAGACAAAGAACTCCCCTCTGTCCATATTTCTGTAGCCAGATAAGAGAAAATTAGTATCTTATATCCGGTCCACATTCTCTGGACCCTCACTCCTTAGCCTGGCCTCTCCGTATTCTGATTGTTCCTGGGAGCCTGAAATCTAATCAGCAGGACACTTCTGCCTGAACTCTGAAACACACCCTTTCCTTGAGCATACCTCTCCCAGTTAATCATTAGTCAAGAATTTCCATGTTTGCCCAAGATAATACAAGTGTAATTTCTTCAGAGTTAAGCATGATATTTCATCTAATGTGAAAAGCCAGCCATATCACTAAACAATCTACCTAAATGATAGTCAGAGGGATGGTCTTCCCACTCCAAGGTTCTAGATTCTTAAGTCTGAAACTTGTGTTAGATGTAAGGTTCACACAATGGCTGCAGTCACCACGGACAAAGGGCAGGGAAGTCACAAGTGCAGAGCTTTGACCCAAACGTCCCTCGGCTGGCCAGCCAGGATCTGACACACACTGGCTTGATTTCCCAGCCAGGCCCCATTTGGGAGGCCCTGACCATGGCTATCGGAAGCGGTGGGACTTCGAGGTGTGCTGGAGCCCCCCCTAGCCAGATATTCCCGTAGTGACCTTCAGCCCTCCACTGGGCTCTGCCCAGCGTCCGTGGAAATCCATGGTACCCAGCCAAGGAAATTCCCCGCCGGGGAGGGAGTCAAGAACAAAACTCAAAGGTCACCACGCGGGCGGCGGTGTTTCTGTAGAGCTCTGCACTTACAGGGGGTTTTGCTGATTTATTCATTAACGATAATAACTCCCTCGGGACAGGGGACAGTGCTGGGGAATGACTGAGCGGACGCGGCTGGCCGGCTGTGTGGGAAGGACATGTCTGGGCCAGGCCATCAGAAGCCTGGACAGTGGTCTCCACGCTATTAATTGGCAGACACCGGGGCAAAACCCTGCCGCTCCTTCTCCGGCCCTCAGTTACTTTGCTGTGAACTGAGGATGTTCCTCTGCATGGCTATTTTTGTCATTCGAATCCTTCCACTTTGTTCCCTGACCTTGTCTGTAATGTATTCAACGTACACTTTATCAGCCTCGCGTCACTTCCTTCCGACCCCTCCTCACCAGGGATAAATAGATGCAAACTTCACTTGAAAAAAACAAATCCACATCACCTGGATGCACCGTCTCCGGTGTCCCTTCTTCCCAGTCCAACAAACATGACTCCTCTCCCCTGCCGGCCACTACCCACCAGAGACTGCGGAAGGCCTGATGCCTGCTCTCGTGACTCAGCTGTAGCATTCAAGAGGTTGGGCCTTAGGTGTGCTCAGGAAGAGGACGAGGAGAGGAAAGAAGGGAGGAGAGAGGGAGGGAGGGAGGGGTGGTAAAGGAAGAGAGAGCAGAGCAGATGTAGTGAGGCGCAGCAATACAGACGCTTGTTTCCCTGGTAGGCGCTGTGTGGAGACAGGGCATGGTCCTCTGTCCAACGCATTATAGGACACGCAGAGACGGTATCAGGAAGATTGGCTTGCTGAGGATAATTTGATTGACCTAAATTCAATCTTTGTATGAATTTTGATCAGCTTGAATGGGATTTACAGCGGAAGGTACACTGTGACATTCCCGTGCATGCGCATAATGAATGCCTGCCGGGGAAACTCCCCCTCCCCGCTCTCCCTCCCCTGCCCCGCACAACAGCGCCCCCAGGTCTCATTGCTCTCTATTCATATGTGCGAACAGGCTGTGTGGACGTCCACACCCTCGCTCACCTCTATACCCACCGTCTTTCCACTTCCCGGCGCCCAGGACCACAACACAGCCTGTTCTACTGCCACTCATGTCTTCAATGTGTGTCAATTGTAACAACGCCTTGTGCCGTGGTGCTTTAGACACTTCATATCTTAATCAAAATAACCCGATGTCTTAAATTCTGTCATTAGAGAGTTATCTCCGGGCAGGAGAGTTCAGCTTTGTGTTTCCCTTCACAAGGACACTGGAGGAATTGGCACCCATCTTTGAGGTTCGTGTGGGACCCTTCCCGCTCCACAGGAGATCTGGGATGGTCCCCAGGGCCAGCGGGGGCTGAGAAGGACGGCAAGAGACTTGATTGATGAGCAACAACCAATTACTTATTAATCAATGAATCACTGGGCACTACCCCAGTGAGTAAATTCTAATTTCAGCCGTTTTATCGAGAGTAATAAATGCTGTCTAGCTCCAAGATGGGTTGATGTTTGGAAGGATGAAGGATCCTGGAGAAGTTGGCACACGACAATCACCACAGGCATCTCTGTGTGTACGTCTGTGTCACCAAGGACATCTTTGCGTGTACGTCTCTGTCACCAAGGACATCTCCGCGTGTACGTCTCTGTCACCAAGGACATCTCCGCGTGTACGTCTCTGTCACCAAGGACATCTCCATGTGTACGTCTGTGTCACCCCGAGCGTCTCCGCATGTTGTCTCTGCCATGTGCAGGTGAGTGAGAATCTCACGGAATCCTCCAGCAGCCTGCAATGGCAGAGGCTGTAATGACTATCACAGTCAGCGCTGACAGACGAAGAACAAAGGCTGGTGACAAAGCAAGGTCACACGGTGTTCGCCCCAGGTGCAGTGAGCGCACCACGCCCCGTCCGCCCTTCTGTCCAAGTCTCCACCTGGCCTTGTGTCCGAAGCCGGGGCTCAGCCTGCAACTCGGGTACGAATCTTCCCTCTCCACATTCCTCAGTGGACCAGTATGGAAGAGGCGGAGGCGGAGGCGGAGCTGGAGGAGGAGCGAGGGGAGTCCCACCGCTGGGCTGTTACACGCACGAGGAGAGCCACAGTCTTCTGCGGACGGACGCCTGTGTCTCCAGGACAGGCTGCTGAGAGAGCTGGGGATGAAGAACGGCTGGGGACCTGGGAAGGAAAACCTCCCACAGCCCCGGCTGGGCATGGGTGGAGACACTGGCCTGGGAAGGAAAACCTCCCACAGCCCCGGCCGGGCATGGGTGGAGACACTGGCCTGGTCCTAGCTTTCAGCAATTCTGCTCCAAGCCTTTCCTTTCTCAGTACTACCAAGCCGGTACTTAGGGTACCGCCTTCCTCTTGTCTTCTTTCTGTCCCACATTTTCCTGCTGACATCCCAGTCAGCAGGGAGGGGCCTGGTGACTTGTGTACTTCTAGATGGAGACAGCCTGCAGACATTCGCTCTCCACGCACGCCAAGGGAGATGTCCACAGAGATGTGACCTTTCAGTCTGAAAGAAGACAGAGACAGGGACACCAACGCCACGCACCTCCCTCCTGTTTTCTACTCTGGCTCAACATACCACCAGGCCAGGCTGCCAATTCCATGCCTCGTGGTAAACCTGTAGCAATCAAATACTAGGGCAAAACTACCAGTCATCGGAGGGGAAGTTGCATAGATGAGAAAGAACAAAGTTTTCCTTCCACATCAAAATTCCATGTTCAATATCATTAAACAGGAAATAATGGGGAACGCAAAGTGTTACTTCCAGAGCCAATAAAAATGCGTAATTAGTGCTTGATTTCACAAGAGGCACTTGAAAGGAGAAACGGCTGCTATCTCTCAGCACACTTGTGCTATACTGCTTTGAGGAAAGCTGGTTTTATTCACTCACTCTTTTATCCTAATAATAGAAATATCACATATTTTTCCTCATCTGTGGAATCTAGCCCTACAAAAATGAAAAAAAAATGTGGGGAGATAAAAAAGTTGGTCTTTTGGAGGAAAAAAAGCAGAAAGGGGGAGGGCAAATGGAGAAAATGTGGGGTGAATGTGATCCATGCATTAAAATAGAAGAATAAAATCCATTAAAAACTGTGAGCAAAACCATGAGGGCTAAGGAGGGGTAATAAGGCTTGTAATCACGTATGATTCGCATGTATGGAAACATTACAGTGAAATCCTTTGTCTAATTAATGCACACTGGTAGAAATGTCAGTTTAAAAATATACTGAGCTGCTAGTAGATGCCAGGAACTTTGCTGCCCTCAGAGCCAGCACATTGACGGAACGCAGAGACAATTCCGGATGACTAGGGCAGCACAAAGAAATTGTGGTGGGCCCACGTAGAGCACTATCAGAGATTTTCTGGTGAGTCTTCACAGGTCAGTTACGTTGGTCACGTAAACGAGACGTGACTCACAGAAGAAGGAAAGGTGGCCCACACCACACTGGACAGGCTGGCGTGGCCAGGTGATGTGGGGCCTTGAGTGACAAGTCCGGCTGGGAAGTGGACATGTCACCGGCGCTGTAAGACCGCGCCTGGCGGGCGGCCTCGGCCTACGTGGTGGTCGGTGCCGCGCCCGGCTCTGGCTGCGGGTCCACGCCCTGCCATTCTGAGAGGCCCTTCCCTTCAGTTTCCAGAAGCTTTCCACTATCCAAGCTGAGCACGTCACAGTCTCCGGGAAGTTCCACTCTTCCTCAGCAGGTGGAAACTGCTCCTAAAGTCATACAGAACTCGCCAAGGCTTTTCAGGAGCTTTACAATAGGTGGTATGTGTTGAGATAGATGTGAATAGCAAATTCAGCTTTAAAAATAAAGGGCCCAGCTAACGAATGCCGTTCCTCTACAAGGGTAACAGTGACACCGTGACCCAAGCCACAGCCCTTGGAGCCCTGCGTCGTGCGGCTCGATTGTGTCTCTGCATTGGGCAGCTGGGACGCATCTGTCCCATGGTTTCTCTTACTGGCAATGTTGCCTTTCAACATCTACAGCTTTGGTCTAGATTTTGTTTCAGATTCCTCACACATATTTTACCCATACACTAGATATGACCATTGAAGTATCTTCTAGTTACAGGCCCAGCATTTCTAAACATACACCAGAGAGGAGAGAGGAGGAGAAGGAAGAGGAGGAAGAAGGGAAGGAGGGAGAGAAAGAGAGGAGGAAGGGCAGAGAGAGAAGGAATGATGGAGAAGAGGGGAAAACGCCAACACCAATCCAATGTATGTCCTACAAACTTAAGAAGAGGGGGGGACAGGGAAGGGACGGGTGGGCTGTGGAAAGGTCACATCCAGCAAGGGGCATTGAGTCATAAACTGCTCAGCAAAATGGCAGCTCCTTTGTACAACTACTTAAGGATAATTAACGAAATTAAAAGAAAGCAAACAAGCAATAATGAGAGAAAGAAGGAAGGAAGGAAGGAAGGAAAGAGAAAGAAGGA